ATAATAATAATATATAATAATATATAGGGCTACCTATAAGTAAGTTTGATTGCTCTGCATAGTATTTAATCTATTTTCCTGTCTTTCTGTATTTTATAGATGCCATCAGCATAAATCCTAAGGATACTCGCTGGGTTGGTGCCTGGTGGCTTGGATTGCTTATCTGTGGAGCAGTTAACTTCATTGCTTCATTGCCTTTCTGGTTTTTGCCTTACTCCTTACCAAAAGAAGGAGAGAATGAAAACCTGAAGATTAGTAACTTGTCCATTCAAGATCACTGTAAATTAGACCCCCCAGCTCAGCCACAGTTAAAGTTCTCAGAGGCAGTAAAAGGTGAAAGATTATCGCCCAGATGTTTGCATGTGAATTCTTTCTCATGGGTTCATTCTGAGCTGAGGACGAATTTGCATAATTTGAAAAGCTACATGTTTCTGCACTGCAAATGACAGACAAAAATGCTCGTTCATTTGTAGCATTATAATTACATGCTAAAGGTGGGTTTCAGTCCTCTCCTTATCTAAGACAGCTGGAAAAAAAGCTCAGGCTGCTGCTTTGAACACCAGAGATTCTCAGTTCAATACAGTAGTTATGTATTACAGATAGAATCTTATGATTATGAAGGAAGAGGGGGGAAACCATCCCATCCCTCATTAATGACTGGTCCTCAGCTGACAGGTTCTGTAGGTCAACATATGTAAGGGAAACACAGGGCCAAGTACTACATTACCTGTTGGAGGGATTTCACTGGCTTCATAGCTCCTGTGATGCTAAATTAAACTTGTATAAGCAATATCAGGCCTAACTACCATTGCTAGACTCCCCTAATAGTTTTACTCATATATATATGCATGTACACCCCTTAGCCTACGGCAGACGTTTGCCTTCTAGTCAAGCGTGCCTGAAGTCAGACTACAAGCTCCATGCAGGTTGTTGTGTTCATTTAGTTTCATGGACTTAGGGTCTCAGGAAAGGGTCCAGCCTTTTGCTGAGTCAGGTGCTCCCTTTCTCTGAATATCAGCCTCATGTGGGGCTTTTGGATTCCCAGTTCAGCATCCACTGTCCCATTCAGCCTTGCTGCTCCTGTAAATTGTGTGTTGGCTATGAAGAAAACCCTCACTTGAGCAAGCATGTGTTTTAATAGGCAAAGAATTATAGCTTGCAACACAGACAGTAATTAAATCATATTCAGTTTTATTATCTAAAGGATGTCAAAACAAGCCTTCTCTGTGTAGAGCATATACCTCTCCATTGCAGATTTCTTTCCAGCTCTGAAGAAGCTGTTTGGAAATCCGGTTTTCCTGGTGTACATCTTCCTCACTATTCTGCAATACAATTCTCTTGTTGGGATGATAACCTATGAGACAAAGTTTATGGAGCAGCAATTTAACGTATCAGTGGCAAGAGCCATCTTTCTAATTGGTAGGTACCTGTTCTTCTAAATTCCAGTGTCAGAAAAGAAAGTTTTTTATTTCGCCTTCCGTTCTAGTAGAAGCTTCTGTAAAATGTTTTGATTTAAAAAAAAATAAAGTAGGTAGTAGTTCATTTATTTTCCTATGATATTTGAAAATGGACAGTAATCCTAGTGTTGACTTCCTGGTGTTCCTAGTTTGTGAGCTAGAGTATTATTAGAACAAGGTGGATTCTTTTTTTTTGTCTAAAGTTTTTTTCAGAGTGAGATTTGGGTTATGAATGTGTCTGTTTTTGTGAAAATAACCACACATAAACTGCAACTAAGTAATAACTGTAAGAAGAAAAGACATTTAATTGAGAAGATGTTGAATGAAATATGTTATTTTCCTTTTCAGAATAATGTTTTGTTATAAATGTTCTTCTGTTTTGATTGCAAATACAAATTTTGTGTGCAATAAGAAACCAAAATGTAACATTCTGAGTAATTTCATTCACCTCCGAACTATTTTTCTATTTGCCAGTTCCCTCAAAAGTATTTTCTTTGTAGTGTTACACAAAAAAGAATGCTAAATTTATATTAATCTTACAGTGATTAATATGGTCTCATTAATTGGCAAGAAAACCAGGGTATCTGAGGTCATTGCAGAATGGATATTCCATTACTTTAGTCTGAAGGCACTCTGCTTTGCTACAGGTCAGGTACAAATAGGTGAAGAACTTCCTTTTTCCTCTTTTTCTGGATACAGGGAGGGTTTTACAAAAACAACATGACCAACCAAACAAAAAAACATACAGAGAAAGGCAAACCCCTCAGAATAAAATCTTGTAAACCCTCTCTATTCAGCATGTAAATATTAGGTTTGAAGCTTGTGAAACACTGAATGTATTAAATCTAAAAGCAAACATTTCCATGATACACTCTTAGCAAAATGGAATCCAATGCAGAACGATATGTTGCTACATTTCACATTTTGTTTTGGAGATTTTTCTTCTGTAACTTTCAGTAAGTTTAATATTTTATTTTAGATAAAGAAGTGCCCATGAGCTAAGACATTTATCTCATTTACTCCAGTTTCTAAATGGCACCTGTATAGGTTTTATTATATCAGTGTACACACAAAACCCAGTATAGTAAAAAGCTATGGAATATTGAGGAGCTAAGCTTTTTAATGTCATAACATGACCTGAAACATAATGAGGAAGTAAGCAAAATTGCTTAAAAGTAATTAAGAGTTTTAGAACCTCAAAGGATCAGTCTGAAAACAGGTCAGTATGTGATATTTTGGAAACTACTAGAAACGGATATTTATTCCAAAAAGGATCAATGCAGGTGACAGCAGTTAACATCTTTATTACCTTCTATCTGCAGGTGTGATACTTTTACCCATCACAATCCTGGGGATGTTTCTAGGAGGCTTTCTGATCAAGAAATTCAAGCTTCAGATAACTGAAATGACAAAATTTGCATGCATCACCTTTATAGCGGCGTATTTGTTAAACCTCTTGTATTTTACCTGCAGTTGTGAGGTGCTCCAGGTGGCTGGTTTGACAGCGCCCTACTCTGGGTTTGTATCCGCTTGGGGTTATGTTGGTTGTGTCATTCGTCACAGTTGCTTCCTGCCCTGTGCAGAACATGGTGCAAGAATCTGTATTCATCTCCGCTCACAAACTAATCTGGATTTGTAATCTCATCTGGACCACAAACCTTCTACTCTAGAAAACATTTTTCGTTCAAATTTGGATGAGTCCGAAACATGTCTTCTCTGTTGTTTTAGCTGTATTTCTCTATTGTATATTGCTACATACTTTTACATAAAAATATAATACATGTATCTGTTTAAAGACAACATTTTTTTGTTGTTGTTGAAAATGACCTGTACTAGGTCATCTGCTAGGGTTCTCCAGTGTGGTTTCAGCTAGAGTGGAGCTACTGTGATGATACTGTTTTACCACTCCCTTGGTGGTGATACATACAAGAAAATCTTGGGTATGGAGATACACTTGCCAGGCTGAAATGATACCTAGTGTTGGGCTGGTCAGAGTATCTGTATTTTGTTCTTCGAATTTCTTTTAAAACAGATAGTTCTTTTTCTAAATTCTTTATTGCTGGATATTGACAATATACTTCTATATTCTGGCAAACTGCAATGTAAGATGATTTTTTTTTACAGGAAAATTAGGGTTTTATATTTTATTTCAAAGCTTTACTTTAAAACCAGCCTCCTACCATGTAGGGAGTGCGATGTAAAAAGTGCTGAAACTGTCTTCCACATGGCCTCACCAATGTCTTTGTCCCTAGAAGGGCCCATCCTCTAGATCAGGAGTTACCAGCCTGTGTGGGGATTCACCAGCTTCCGTTGGTACCTGGAGCTGCTGACCTGTCTGTGTCCATTTTCTGAGCTAGGAGGCAGAAAGTGGCTGTGTCAGCAGCGTGTGCTGCCCAAGCAAACTTTTCCCCCTCCCTGACCAGTCATGCTTCCTTGAGAGCATTTTGCAGACCCTAGCAGCACAATTGCCTATTGTTTAAATTTAGCTCAATCTGGTCCAACAAATTTCAAGGGATTTTAAAGGATTAAACCAAATCCTGCAGGGTTTTCTTGATTTTTTCAATTTAGACAGAAACTCAGTCCTGTGTTTTTTTGAAATGGAGCCTATGTTCAGGGAAATATCTAAGTTGTCTTGGCAAACCTGACACCCAGATCAGCTTTGAGGTTACTTACATGAAAGATGTCAGAGTTTTGTGCAGTGGAGATAACTCCGGTTGAGTGCAACATCTGATACTGTAGAGAGAATTAAAAAGAAGCAGAACATTCAGACAGCAAATATGGAAAGAGCAATTACAATTTCTGCAGGAGAACTGAAGCTGGAGAATTTAGTATGTTCTAGGATTCTTCTGGCTGGGCGACTCACATACTGTTTTACCCATTTAACAATTTGTAGTTTGAAGAGGAGGAACAGTGGACTAAACACACAATGTGTTTTAGATTGAGGGGTAAAAAAGAAGAAAAATCAAACTTTGAACACCTTTTCCTTTATATTGTGAGTGACTTCAAAGCAAGGTTGATTTGTAGGTAGTGGACTCCTAACACATTTTGAAAACTGAGTCCTGCTGCCATGCCCTCAGACCTGCTGGCCACTTTTGAAATTCTCAATTTTAGTTGTCATCTGCTTAGTTTAACTCCTTGGGGCCTGATTTTGATGTTTCTTACAGAAATGTTGATAAAAGTGGAAGCTGTGAAAGTCCATGATAATATACATCAAGAAATGAGATCTGATAAGAAATGAGGCTCAAGCCCCTCCCAGGCCCAGGGCTGTGGCTGCTGTTGCTGCACATGGTCAGAGCTGAGACAGAAGCAGCACTTCTCAGCTTTCATGTGAAAAAGTAATACCAAATTTTCCCTCCCGGCTAAGAATACTTTGTTTGTGAGTTCCATGCCTTTTCAACAGCAATCCATAAAAATGTTAATATTTGATGAAAAACCTCAAGAGAGCTTTGGTTTAGCTGAAATTATCTTAGTCTCCCTAAGACAACTTCACAGTCTGTTGGATGATAGCAGATACCTGTCCAGGTTGACTGCTTCACTTTCTCTGTGTTTCTCCTGCCTACTCCCTGATATTTTGTCTGACTATGTAATTTGACTCAACAATTATTTTATTTCTTTCTGTTCTGGTTCAGATTAAAGCATCTTTCCTCCCCTAAAACCAGCTTCATGGCCAGTTGCAATGCTGACTGCAGCTGCAAGCTGGATCAGTGGGACCCTGTATGTGGGGCTAATGGAATCACCTACATGACTGCCTGCTTTGCGGGATGTAAAACATCAACTGGGACGGGAAAGAATATGGTAAATATATAGGTGGATAGATGATTATTTAGTAAGGCCTGTTGTGACAGGACAAAAGGTAGTGGTTTTAAAATAAAAGAGGGTAGATTTAGACTAGATATGAGGAAGACATTTATTGATGATGAGGGTGGTAGAACACTGGAACAGATTATCCAGAGAGGTCGTAGATGCGCCATCCCTGGAAATGTTGATAGCCAGGTTGTACAGGGCTCTGAGCAACCTAATCTAGTTTAACATGTCCCTGCTTGTTGTGGGGGGGTTGGACCAGGTGACCTTTAAAGTACAATTCTATGAATATAAATATAGCTAGATTTCGCCATCTATTATTTTTTGGCTTTGTGATTAAGAAATCTTGTAGACACAAATGTCCATTCTATATGGTGAATGAAGTGAATGAAGGTTGCAGGGAGGGTTTTTGAAAGCGTTACAGTGAGGCAAGTGAGTTATTCAGGAAAGACTTGAAAATCTCACTCTTAACTTACATTTCTTGAATGCTTTTATTTTGATTTTAAAAAAGAAAAAATTTCTCTCGGCAAGATGGCCATAAATTTGGCTTCAAGTTTCTCAGCAGATCAGTTACTGTCCAGCTAAGAGAGGTCTGCTTTAGAAGACCTTTACTGTAGCAAAATCCCATGGTGTCAACTCATGTGCAGCAGATCTGTATAACATTGTGAGTGCAGGTTTCACAAACTGTTGCAGATCATATTGGAATTGTCTGCTTTCCTGAGCTGCCACAGCTCAGGAAAACAAGTCATAACACTAAATTGTGCAGCAAAGAGGTCCTGTAAATACACATCTGGCCATTTTATTCAGTTTATCAGCAGCAAAGTAATTTCCAGGACTTCAAACAATCTTACCAGTCGTTAGCAACAGTAGGTTTGCAGAAGTGTGTGCAAATGACCATGTCTTTTGTCAGAAGAAGAACTGTCTTCATGTAACAATACTGAAAAGGATAAGCAACCTTTTGGCTTATATCCATATATCCCAGCAATATTCTCTTGCACCACTTCAGAGAAATTGGCTTTCAAACCTGCCTTCTGCTAACTTCAAAGGCTATGAAACAGCCAATTTTCAAGCCAGTGCCAAACACTGTTTTAGATATGTAACCGTAGATATGCATGATTGCATTTTTGGTCCACATCTATATTTTTATTGTTATTCATGTGCTTCCTGATCAGAGTGGCTGGATAACAGTTAACATCTGAATTTTATAGCTTTGACCCATTTTAAGCATACACAGAGCACCTTCTGTCCTAGCAATGTTATGGCTGAAACCAGAGTCACAGGTGCTTTGTGTCACTGGAGCAGCTCAGATTGGCTGGAGAATACCAATGAACTTGGCTATCAGTCTGCAGAAATGGTTTCCAGTGTAAACAACAGCCTGCCTGTTATAAGAAGTGAAAAATCTAAGTACTAAAATAGCTTTGTGCCACTGAGTTCTGATTAAATAAATTCTCATCTTCTCCTTTCAGGTGTTTCACAACTGCAGCTGTGTAGAAGGACAAGGGCATGGGCTTGGCAATTCCTCTGCAGTTTTGGGACAATGCCAAAGAGAAAGCTGTACCAAAGCATTTCCCTATTTTTTAGCATTACAGACTGCATGTGCTTTTATTTTAGCCTTAGGAGGCACTCCTACATACATGATTATGTTTAGGTGAAATACTTTACCTTACCTTCACCATAAAGCTTTGGGAAAGAGAAGCAGAATGTGATATCTACTATTTAATTCCCACTGTGAGGATTGGCATGCTGATGAAACTAAGTCTTTGCCTGTATTCTGAGATTCATCTCTGTTGAGAGGACAGCAAAATGCCTGTCAACCAATTTAATTCCAATTTAGGCTGGGTAGACACTTTGGTGATGAAATGAAGTGCCTTATGCTGATCCTGAGTATTCGTTTTCACTTCCAACAGTAGGGATGTTTTTAACAGAGTAATGAACTTGAAACAAGATGCAGTGCTAAGCCATATCCAAGGTGACTATGCTGTTCACATTACTCAGGAGAAAAACGTTCACCTTTGTAAAGCCTTGCTGCCTCAGAATGTTTTCTGTGCTGTGAGAAATCCGATACTCCCTTTTTTTTTGTCAATCCAGTATAAACAGAATTATGGCAGCAGCAATATATTTTATTATTTTTAAATTTTGTTCCTTCAGTTGTAAAACAACACTGCTATTTTACACTCAGAAAAGACAATGTTCTATGCTCCTGGGTGAACTTCTATCTTCAGCAGTCAGTGCACATGACTAGATAACTGTTGGCCCAGCTGCTGATTCTTCTGCAATACCTCCAAAAGCAGCCATTCTTACTGCGTGCCTAGATTATGGGCAAGACTAACTCTGCTGGGCAGTTTTCAGGTCACTAATGTGTATCATAAGAAGCCGTTTATGTTAACACTGAAAAGATGATATACTGATGTAACAACTCCAGTTCAGGCAACAGACTGGCAATAGCAAGTCTCTGTCCTGCACCTGTGCCAGCTCACTACTCCTCCCTGCTTTTTAGTAATTCTTCCAGTTCGTCTGATGGACACAGGCTCTTTCTTCACTGGTAGGAATGAGGTGCTTTTGTAGCCAGGCCACTCACGTTCACTGTCTCTCTGTAAAATGCTGGAGGCAGAGGTGGGTTTTACTTGCCTGTAGCTAGCAAAGACTGCACACCCTTGTTTGCCATTGCAAAATGCAGCCCCCTCTAAAGCAAGGCAGCTTCTTGGACCTTAACTTACGGACATGAACTGCCTACTTGCAGTTGGTTCACTTTAATTTTCCTGTGCATCCTCTCCCAGAAGTGTTTACAATCTGGTCTCCTTGGGTTCAAGATCAGTTTCTGTAGATTCTTCCATTTATTTCAGTTGGAGTTCATCCACTGAAAACAATGGAAGGAAGCTTTACATCTGAACTTCAACTTTGGTGAATGTTTTCAGTTAGAGTCTTAGTATACAATATTAGGTACTCTTGCAATAGGACACATACAGATATTCACAGCATGACTATAGCTACATTATTCTGTTGTTCCCCCAAACAATGTACTATTTTTTTTCCTTTCTAGATCTGTTTCACCAGACCTGAAGTCCTTTGCTGTTGGAATTGAAACTTTAGCTGGTAGAGTACTAGGTAAATTTCATTTCTCTGTGGGATTCAAGTAGGTAGTCAAAAGAGATAGATCAAAGTTAGCCAGGGCAATCTAATTGCTCCAGATGAGAACAAAAGAAATTTTCCAAAATTTTTCCTTGTAAGCAGATTATGTATTTAAAAATGCCTGGAGGAGCTTGCTACATGTTTCCTAGTATGTAATTATATGTTATGATTTTCTCTTCAGAATTTTTTCTATGCAGCAAAGGAATCAGGCAAAAGAAGGAAATTTCATTGTACTTATGGGTTTAGGATTTTTTTGTTTATTTGTGGACACAATTATCTGAGTTTGATCAGTCTGGATATCCTTAACACCCAGGATTCTTTTTGCTGACCATTTTTTACTTAGAGCTTCTATGTATTCTGCCTATTATTTTATTTCTTGTGTTTATCTACAATAAATAATCATTCAAGTCTTTGGACACGTAGTCTGCCCTACCTCTAGCAAGCCTTGTCTTATCTTCATTTGTTTGCTAATTTTTGAAATCTTTGCCACACAGATAAGCCCAAATAGTCATTTGTATGTCTCTCCTAATCTCTGTATTTTAGCTGAATGTTGCAGAAAATCAATCTTGTACTTTTATGAAATAGTTTTCTTCATGAAACTGCATATTATCCTTGAAAAAACTTACTGGTTATATTAAATCGTTATGAGTGTCTGAAAAGAATTCTTTCAGTGCTATGTAAGTAATACACTTAGTACATAGTTGGTTTTGAGCAAATGCTTAGTTTCAGCCCTTTGCACTTATCTAACCATCTTTAATGGCAAACTGTTGTGTAATGCCTGAATAGATATATTAGTGTCCATAAATATTAACATGCAATGGCACATAATTCTATACCAGGGACTGAAAAATAAATATTGGTCATGTGATCTATTTAAACAACTAAAGTTACAATTCTAATAAAAATGCCATTAAAGTAGAATTACTTACACTTCCCTTACTGAATATAATGATGCTATAATATTCCATCCTTTCAACTCCCTTTAGGTACTTGCTCAAATATTTTCACAAATCTTGGAATCTCAAAGCTGATGGAGCTGGATGTTCAGCTGTAATTCAGAAACCATGTGATTAATTTCCCTATTTCTTTACCATGACACTAAATGCTGAAATCTTCAAGTCTGAGATCATGTAATAAGAATTTTCTTTGCAGGAGGACTACCAGCCCCTATTTATTTTGGTGCCTTGATAGATAAGACCTGCTTGAAATGGGGAACAAAGGACTGTGGGGGATCTGGATCTTGCCGGGTATATGACACAAAAGCGTTCAGGTAAGCTCAAGTCTTTGGTAAGGGGTTGGGAATTTGGCTTCTGAGGCAGTTTTGGACGCCAAGGACCAAGCTATACTTTGCCCATGTCAATAATCAATTGTCAATAGACTGATTAGGACACTAAAAGCACCAAACCTCCTTATTTTGACTAGGCTTTAATAGATCAAATAAGCCAAATGGTTTTGATTCAGTCTGACATGAGACACTGCAGTACACTGCCTTACATGGCCATCAATAGTTCCTTTACTGAAGCCTTAGTGCCCTAAATAACTCTGCAACACTTTGTGCGAGACTGAAAACCCACGGAGTGAGCTATGGCACTGAAGATGCTCTTCCTCATCCCTCATTTCTCTGCTTCCTAATGTAGAGGACACCTCAAAAAATATGCTTGGAGGGAGTACCGAAGTGACTGGTGGTGAACAGAGAGCTGTGGCCAGGAGTAGCGGGTGCTGCCAGTGAAGGGCTGGGGGAAGACTGGGACCACAGGCAAAAAGCCCTGGCTAGTGCAACTCCTCTTGTCCCAGCCCTAAAATATAGCCCGCTCAGTAGGAGCACTTTTCAGACAGGAGGCATTTCTGCTTGGAGTGTAGGACCGGATTAGAACCTCCCTGGGGCTAAATATCCTGAGATTGTTTGCTTTCTGTCTGTTATTTCTCAAAATGTGGTGCAATACCTGGCTGAGAATAGATAATTTCACCAAAATGTATTTGATATCTTACTTGGTTCCGCTCAGAGTTGCCAAGCTTTATTAAAATAAACATATTTTGTCAACTTTTTGTTTTTCTAGAAATGTTTATCTTGGCCTCATTGCAGGACTGCGGGCAGGATGCTGTCTCTTATACATAGTGCTCTCTGTTTTAATAATGAAACGCTTCAAACCAGATGGCAAAGAGGTGACAGATATTAAAAATACAGAAAGATCAACCAGCAAAGAACCAGCTATTGGCAATAAAAAAGAAATTCTTCCTGGTGCAAGAACCTCAGAAGACAGTGAGGAAACTTTTATGTAAAAAAGAAGAAAGGTCTTTTCATAACTTTCCTGTGCTTCAGTTTTTCTAAGCACGAGTCTAATTACTGACTTCAACAGCTAGTTTACATTGTCGGGATCCACAAAAATATCTTTGAAACATTGACTTTTAATTTGCTTTACTCTATCCTCTTCCTCTCCTCATCTGAAACAATAGAGGGAAAAAACTTAAAACCTTCTGGGGTTTAAAAATTTTGGAGTTTTAAATTTGTGGGGAACTCTTCCGTCTTCTTGTTCTCAGTCCCTTTCGAGGACCAAGAATAGAACTAGCCAAAAATCATTCAAGTGTCATGAACTTGATTGTGCTGGAAAAATTAAAAAGAAGAAATCCACAATAAGCTGCTTTTCCATTTTTCACTGACTATATTTCAGGTCCTCTTGCTCTGTATTGAGTCCTATAGCTCTAAATGGCCAATCAAGTTACACTTGCCCAGTTGATCTGATGACCTTTGCGACGTGGTTCATGACCAGAGCTCTTTGTTCTGGACTGGGTCCCACATCCCATGCTCAGCTCCATGCCCGGGGCTGTCAGTGAGCGCCTTCTCAACAAGAATTGCACAACAAATCTAGAGTTTGGTTTAAGCAGATTAAACAATCAAAATGGAATGCAAACAAAGGAAAGTGGTGTATTAATTTTGCAGCACATCTCAGTATTGGGTTTGAGTAAAATTATTCTGAACTGATATATTAAAGTGATAGATTTTAAAATTTCTTTCTTTTTTTGTGTGTGTAAATTTCTATCCTAATGACCACTGCATTTATACCATGTGTTTATAAATTTCTTCCCTTGTTTAAGGAACCTTCAGTAAGCCTTGAAATACAGTGCTGAAAACCCGCAAATTCACAGCTTTCCACAGGCAGTCTTGACCAGAAAGACACTTTAATAAAGGATGCTTCCAGCAGTCATTGTTGGGAAAAAAAGTCAGTTAAAATACTTGAAGTGTGATATTTCATTAACTCTCATGATGTCATTTTGCAATGTGAGAAACATGCCAGGTAAGATTACTGCAGGTTTAGTCTCCATCATCACAGCTGTTTTGCTTTCTTTTCTGAAGGGTATCTCTGCTCCTCACAGTCTTTTGCCAAGCCTAGAATGAGGAAACAAGCTTCCTTTCCTAACCTTAAACTTCATTGGGACATGGAAGAGAGTGCTACACTAATAAAAATAAAATATACCACACTTGATCTGAGAAAGTACCAGATCAGAGGTGTGAAGAGAAAGATTCTACATGTTAAGTGAACTTCTGACCTTTCTTCTACCACCAGCCCCTTGCAAGTGCAAGAACAGGAGTGGGAAAAGGGTTAATTTGGTACTCACTGGAAGGAACCTTCATATCCTTGCCTTGGAGACGCAGTTGTTAGCATTTTATTGCTTACAGGCAATGACCAGTTTATTTAGGTATCATCTTTTACAATCACAGCTCTGATTGTAAACTGCCAGCAGATATGATGAAGCAGTGTGTGTTATAAGGGAAGAGGAATGAAAACTTCTGTAGTACAGATGATATCAACATTGCACCTGAGTCTGGAAATAATTAAAGAAAAACCCAAGATTCAGAAACCCCAGAAATTTTACACAGAGAAAATCAGTGTCTCTTTCTCCTTCTGCAAACAGTGTTTTAACGTTGAATAAATATATTGACAGTTCTAGAAACACTCTTGATTTGCATTAGACATATAGACTTGGTCAGGTGACTCATACTTACATAATTTCCCTTTTACTTCTGTTGTTTGTGTGTTTAATTCTGTACATTGTTTTTTGTATTACTTTTTTTTTTTGATGAGAGCACCTATTAATTGATTTTCCCAGGAGGTAATGTTTTATCAAAGGTACATTGATAATTGATGTCAGACTAGAAAAGAGTTTCTGGTCAGAGCTGATGATTCATGTCCTGATATTTACCACAGATGCAACATGGTAAAGTGAGCTTTTTCAAACAGATAAGAATTAACAGCATCTTTGTAACAGTCTCAAATTGATAATAGCGTAAGTGCTGCCACAGGTGGTATTAAATGAGCCTCTGGCTCAGTGTACGCCCAGCTCCAAGGCTGTATCACTTACCTACATTTCAACATGATCTTGTGTACAAGTCTAAGCACTCTCCTGTGAACAGCAAGTAGAAGTTTCTTCAAGGGAATAACTTGTTCTTCCACACAAAACTAGTGTGAGATAAATAAAAAAATACATAGCTGATTGACTGGCATTTTCCAAGAGTTTTTTTATCCCCTTGCCTCTCACAATAGAGAAGAAATAATGACATTTCTCCCTTTTAATTCCTCCTGCTCTAAAGGCAAGATTTTACCAAACAGAGAGGCAGAAAAGACCTTGGGACTCTGGTCTGGTATAAAGCCATGTTAATGATTCTAAGATCAAACCTGGTATCTTTGTCCTTTGTGACAGCTGTGTCAGCATGCTCAGAGCTAGCTCCAACATCTCTGAGCTCCATCCCTGGGAAGAACCTTGAGGAAAGGAAAGAAGCCTGTTTTAATGTAAGGTGATCAGAGAAACTGTTAACCAGGAAAGCTATTTTTTCAGGGAATTTTGCAGCTACATTAAGTCAGGCATACTTTTGAATAAGGGCAACAAACCAGGTAGTTTAGGAATCATTACAGACAACCTGATCGGCCATAAATCATGGTAATTTCACTGAAACGAGTGAAGAAATAGCCAAATCAGTGAAGTTTTATCAGATAGTGGGAGTTTTAAGAGCTTGAGCCTTAGGTTTCATATAATCATAGAATGTTAGCGGTTGGAAAGGACCTCCTGAGATCACCGAGTCTAACCTCCCCAACAAAGCAGGATCATGTAGGACACATCACACAGGAATGTATCCAGGCAGGTTTTGAAAGTCTCTAGAGAAGGAGACTCCACAACCTCTCTGGGCAGCCTGTTCTGGTGCTCTATCACCCTCACAGCAAAGTTTGTCCTCATGTTGAGGTGGAACTTCCTATGTTCTAGCTTATACCCGTTACTCCTTTTCCTATTACTGGGCACCATTGAAAAGAGACTGGCACCTTCCTCTTGACACCTATTCCTCAGGTGTTTGTATATGTTAGTAAAATCCCCTCTCAGCCTTCTCTTTTCAGCTAAACAGCCCCAGTTCTCTCAGTCTATTTTTATAAGAAGAGATGACCAAGTCCCCTAATTATCCTCGTAGCTCTCCATCGGACTCTCCAGTAGGTCCTTGTCTCCCTTGAACAGGTAAGCCCAAAACTGGATACAATATTCCAGGTGTGGTCTCACCAGGGCAGTGAAGAGGGAGAGGAGAACCTCCCGAGACCTGCTGGACCCACCTTTCTTAATGCACCCCAGGATCCCATTGGCTCTTGGCCACAAGGACACATTGCTCTCCTATGGACAACTTACTTTCCACCAGGACTCCAAGGTCTTTCTCTATGGGGCTGTTTTCCAGCAGGGCGACCTCTGTTTACTCAAATCTTGTTTGAAGCTATCAGAAAGCCCTTCAATGACATTATCAAATTCCCTCTGTCAGAATAACATAGAGCCCTATCCCAGAAGACAATGCAGTTATTTGGCATTTCTTTTCTTTTAGATATATAATCAAGCAGACATAATGACCTATTACTATGTGTTCTTATGGTATTTTCTAGTTGTTTATCAAAGAGGAAAAAACGCCAGCAGCTCTAAACCCACAGTTTTCTGTATGCATTAGGATCACGTATCCTATGAGGACCAAGCCCTTCTAAGGGTTTTATGTCCCCATTATCAACAAGTCCTGTTTATTCTGGCACAGAAATAACTTACGAATAGAGTACTACCTGTTGCAGAATAAACAGAAAATACTTCAGGCTGTCAAATTAAATTTAAATCATTTCAAATATTTTAATAATATAGCAGAAGCTAACATTAGACGTAGTCTACCAGTTTTTCACTGTGGAATATATCGTCATTTTGTCTGTAGTTTGGAATACGGTCAAAGTTCTTTTTAGTCAAAACTGTTAATATAGGTCTGAATCACATGTTGTTTTCTGCAGTGTTAATTATATGTCTTACTTCTAATTAATTCATATTTTTATTGTGACCTACTAAAGCATAACTTAAGCACAGTTCAAGTCAGTCAAGAAGAAAAAATTAAAAAATCCTGCTACAAGTGCACCTGAATTTTAAGGACAAGCAGTTTTCTTCATGAGACCCCTCTGTACCGATATTAGTCTTCAAGATAGAGACTACTTTATTGAGAGGGTAAATGCTTTGGTTTTGTATGGCCATGAAGGGTGGAGAGTGGTCATAGGAAAAACCCAAGCATGCTGTACATATCCTCAGTTGTTTGTCCACCTCTCTGGCCAGATCTGCATTATGGACAGGATGGACTCTTGAGCCCAAGCCGTGTCTAATGCACCAGCAGTGGCCTACAGAAGATGGCAGCCCTTAACCTAGATCTAAAATTCCAGTGTTGTAGTCTCAGGTTAAGAAAGTCAGGACACAGTTTCTCTCTCTTGCAGCCAGGACTCTTGAGCATCAATCAAACCCTGGTCATGGCACCCGTGACCAAATCAAGTGCAGAACTATGGAGTCATCACATGGTTTTTGGACAGGCTGTGCACTGCATGTGTGGTATATATTTTCCTCCTCTGAGACCATGTTGTCACTGCACTTACAGACCCAGGTCCTGGGACTTGTTCCTCCTCCATGGGATGAGCTGCTTGAGGCAGGGGCTGACTTCCACTGGTGCAGGTGGAACAAAGGAGCCACCCAGAATGCCCAAGAGATGGGAGTTGATGGTTAAGCAAGAGTTTGTTAAGCTGTCACCCACCCATGCCCCGTGCTGGGGCATGCCTGGCCCACCTGTTGGACACAGATGTCTTTTTGAGTGTCTGTGGTGTATAGCAAAGTGGTTGTGCTGTGGGACTGATAGCAGAGAGCCTGGAGTTGATTTTCAGTGGGACTGAAATGCCATTTTTTTTCCTATGTATTCTAAAAGTGCTGTAAAGTGATTACCACCTTTAGTGAAAAAAAATAAT